TGTTGTATGTATAGTGGGGGATGGGCATGCTCTTCATCCCTCAAGGCATTTCATGTGTAAATAAATACATGGAGGAAAAATACAGCACACTTCCTGTTCTGCATTCAGGTTATACATATAGGAAAAGAAAATGCACATGCATTTGAGTATAAATTAAATGATTGGTGTTACCTACTGAAGCCTTTACTGCAGAGCTTGTTTCTATAGGTGGTCGCTGAGTTCACCCTGAAGCAAGCCAGAGGCGAGCAGGAGGAGGGGGGCGGACAGAGCATGGCTCTTTATAATGTTCCAAGACGACTGACTGCACCTGAACTCATCCTGATGCATTGGTCCTGGCTAAATGGCACCACACAAGAAATCATCCAGTTTCACAATACAAAACTACCTGCTGTGACAACTATTCCGAAGCATATTTAATAATTAAGCAATAGCATATTCTTTTAAATGGCAGTGTGAATGCAGAGCAATAAATCACTGTTGAAATTTACTAAAGAAGCTAAAATTGAGTCATTGAATCAGAGTTAGCTGAGCTAATAGTAAAAAAGTGCTATAAAAGTAATAAAAGGCTAATTAAAAGAGAAAATTAGAACAACACTAGATAGGATAAGCAAAACAATACATACCTAAAATCCAATAGCAGCTAAATGCTAGCCAAAAGCTAAAAATAACAAAAAGCTAACAGTAACTAAAAACTAAAGAAAACCATACACAGACCAAATATGGCAAGTAAGCTAACGAGAACACTTTTTTTTTAAGGAATGGAAGAGATGTTTTCATATCTCTGTAGGGGAAATTTGTAAATAAAATGAAATATTTTGACAAGTTTTAAAGTCACCCAGCACCCAGCTTCTGAATGAGCTAAATGTTTGATTTATGAATGGCTAAAATGGCACAAAGTAAGCAGAGGAAGATAAATTGCACAAAACAGAAAAAACAAACAACAGAGGAATATAGTGATGACAAAAAGTCACAAGTTGAATTAATTTTTTAAGCCCTGACTGAAAGAAGTTATTGTAAATGAAGCTTTTAGGCCCATTTTTGAGTATGTTATCAGAAATATCACATATAGGTTTAAAGCTGAAGCACACAGCAGACATCTTTGTGCTTTGCTCTTGAAGATCCCCATAAGAAATGTTGGAGCGGAGGGTGTTTGAGAGCATACACACAATGTTGGCTGTGCAAACTGAATCTTGGCTCAAACCAAACAGGGAAGTTATTGAGGTTGCTTGGAGACAGATCGTAATTTATTCCTCTCACTACGTGATAATAATAATTTGGTTTAGGTGAGAGGGTGGCTGAACCTGTTGAAAATGTCTCAGATACTTTTTACTCACTGGCACCTGCAATTTGGAGTAAAATCTACTGTAATTCGTTAATTAAAGGCCTAGCATGAGCATGATTGAGTTACATGTGTGTGTTGACCTATGCTGAGTAGCTGTGGCAGCCATTTTGAATTGGTAAAATTACAGAATTAATGAATATGTGGATACTTATGTTAAAGTGAAGAGGGGTTGAGAACCTATGGGTCTCATTTCTGTTTTACGCAGATGACGTGTTTCTGTTGCCATCTTTCTTCACAGTCAAGTGAGATGAGGCTGAGAATCAGCTCCTCTGAGGTTATGGTTCTCAACCAGAAAGGGGTGGAATGCCCCATCCAGTTTGTGGGGAGACTTTGCCTCAGGTGGAGGATTTGAAGTATCTGGGTGTCTTGTTCACAAGTAATGGTAGGAAGGTCTGGGAGATAGATCTATGGATCAGGGCTTCGTCCTCAGTAATGAGGGCGTTGCTTCAGTTGGTTGTGGTGAAGAAAGACTTGAGTCGAAAGGCAACACCCTATTGGGGCTGTCTATGTTCCAGCCCACACCTTTGATCATGAGGTTTAATCACAACAAAAAGACTACGATCAAGATATAAGTGGTCAAAATGAGCTTCCATTGAAGAGTGGACAGGCTCAGCCTTGGAGACAAGGTGAGGAGCTCTGTCATCTATCAGTTGAAAGGGTTCGGACATCCGATTAGGATGCCCCTTGTGCTCCCTTCTTTTGTGGGTTTTCTGGATATAACCTATTGGGTAGAGGCCCCAGGACAAACCCAGAACAAAATGGAGGTATTATGTATCCTCTCTAGCTTGAGACGCCTTGGGATGCCCCAGGAGGAGCTGGAGAATGTCGCTGGAGACATGGACGTCTGGGTTTCTCTTCGGGTCCTGTTGCCTCTGTGAATCAGTTATGGAAAAGACATAGATGGAGATGAAGAGACAGAGTAAATTAAATAAATATCCAGTGATTATTTTCTGAAAGTTTAAATAAAATCTGTCCAGTGGTTCATAAGATAATGCTCAAATCTCACACAACTCCTCCACATCAACACACTTGGTCCTCCTCCTCCACCGAACCACCTGCTTGTCTGACCAGTATGGGCTCAACAGCATTCAGTTGCTCAGCACCCCACTTCTGCAGCTATCTCCCCCTGGACATCACAATCTCTCACACCATCTCCATTTTCAAATCCTACATCCAAATGATCCTCTTTGTACAGGCATACTCACTCTTTGAGAACAAGGGTGATGCAGAGTTGTAGCAACTACAGGGAATATGCTGGTGAAGATTCTCACTCATCCAGGACATGGTAAATTCTTGTCAGTTTTTGTCTTGAACTTGTTTGAACTACAGGGAATGAAGATCTGGGAGAGAGTTGTGGAAGCTAGACTTGGGTGAGAGGTGACTATTTATGAGCAGCAGTATGGTTTTGTGTTGAGAAAGATCACCACAGATGCCATATTTGCTTTGAGGATGCTGATGGAGAAGTACAGAGAGGGTCAGAAAGAACTCCATTGTGTCTTTGTGGATTTAGAAAAAGCACATGACAGGGGGCCGAGGGAGGAGGTGTGGTATTGGATGAGGAAATCTGGAGTGGCAGAGAAATGTTAGACTGGTACAGGACATGTATGAGGACAGCAGGACAGTGGTGAGATGTGCTGTAGGGGTGACAGATAGCTTCAAGGTGGAGGTGGGAGTGCATCAAGGATCGGCTCTGAGCCCCTTCTTGTTTGCGCTGGTGATGGACCGACTAACAGATGAGGTCAGACAGGAATCCCCGTGGACTATGTTTGCAGATTATGTGATCTCTGATTTGTGGTGAAAACAGGGAACAGGTGGAACTTGGAGAGGTGAAGGTATGCACTTGAGCAGAATGAAAGTCAGTCGTAGTAAGACAGAGTCCATGTGTGTGAATGAGAGGGAGGCCAGTGGAACAGTGATGCTACAAGGAGCAGAGGTCACAAAGGTGCAGGACCTCAAGTACTTGGGGTCCGGTCCACTGTCCAAGAAAATGGGGATTGTGGTAAAGAGGTGAAAAAGAAAGTCCAGGCAGGATGGCGTGGATGACGAAAAGTTTCAGGAGTGATTTGCAACAAAATATTGTCAGTAAAGGTCAAAGGAAAAGTTTACAAGACGGTGGTGAGACCAGCTATGTTGTATGAGCTGGAGACAGGTGCATTGACAAAAAGACAGGAGAAAAGAACTGGAAGTAGCAGAAATGAAGATGTTGAGATTCTCCTTAGGAGTGACAAGGATGGATAAGATTAGGAATGAGATCATCAGAGGTACAGCACAGGTTGAACAACTGGGAGATAAAGTTAGAGAGGCCAGCCTGAGATGTTTGGACATGTCCAGAGGAGGGACAGTGGGTATAATGGTACAAGGATGTTAGAAATGCAGCTGATAGGACAAAAACAAAAGGAGATATATGGATGCAGTTAGTTGGAGTGAGGACAGAGGACAGAGAGGACAGAGTGAGATGGAGAAGGATGACTCGAGGGCAAAGCCGAAAGAAAACTCACTCTAACTTCCTTGTCACAGTACCTGTATTTATGCATATTATTTTTTTGTTGTTGTTTTTGTTATTTTGTTTTTTAAGGCATTTTATATTGTACTTTATTGTACAGTGTTCTTGAGTGCCATAAAACATACCATTAAATATAATAATAATAATAATAATGGGTTAATACTAATCCTAATACTAATACTAACTGGCAACATTTTCAGACAAAATATAGTGCCATGCTTAAACATCATATGTCATGAGAATGATGCTCAACTAATGCAACACCTGATTAGAATTCAACTGATGTAAAAATGGATGAGTTATGGCGATTAATGCGTTGATTACAGGTGATTAGCTGTGGTAGCCATCTTGTGTTGAGCTCCCTCCCAAAGTTAATCTGTTGTACATGTACATCCAATGACTACTGTAATTTCATTAGGATTCATCTTCTGGCTCATGACATATTTTACTGACAGACAAAAAAAAGGCTGTCTCCAACAGCAATAATACTGCCAAAGCAGTATGCAAAAATATTCTATGTGCTGAACTGATGACACCAGATTTTAGTGCAATGTCTTCAAAACTGATGGAGAGCCATTTTTTGTTTCTTGGGTTGCTTTGCCATGGAGACCATCTTGAATGGGCCTGACCCCAAATACTAATCACTTATTATTATTGTTGATTTTTTTTTCTGAGAATTTCATTAAAATCCATTCAGTGGTTCAAGAGATATTTTGATAATATGTTTGATTATTGTAGCTTTGGATGTAAACAGTATGATGGGTGAGTTGGGTTGCGTAAGGACTGTCGTTCACCGATAAGCCCACGGTGTGTTTGTGTTTTCAGCTTGAGTGGGCGGAGTCATAATTCTCAGTCAACATGAAATACGTGGGACCAAAAACAAGCGCACCTCAGAGTCCGGCAGTGCCCTCGTGCCTGTTTACAACCGTTCGCTGTAGTAGAGATCCCGTTTCCTACACCATACACACTGGCGACACATGAGTGGGCGGGACCCTTCGATGCCAGAGCCGCCGTCCAATCAGCGCTCAGAAAAGCACTCACTGGCTGAGAGGCCAGCCAATCGCGAGAGCCAGCTTCGGGACGACAGCCAATAGATTTAGCGCTTGGCCCAGGCACGTGGACTTACGCACACGTTGACGCTCATAAACTGCCAGAGAAGGATTTCAGCAGCTAGCCCATGCAAATATCGAATAGCCGGGTGGTGAGCGCTGAAGGCTGGGCTCCCCTGATGCTCCTCCAGCCTCGGAGAGTGTGATAACGGACCTCTGCTTTATAAAACCGTTATCGAGAGCCTTTCCCCCCTTTTTGTCTCACGGAGTACAGGAGCGAGTGAGTATTTTTCCGTATTTTATCTGTCGCTAACGTTTCCAGAAGTTGTCCGACTAGCCTGAGGGAATTTCCTGTCCCGCTTTGCTCTGTTTAAAACAAAGACTTTATGTGTGTGCACGTGTTTATTTTCAACTATGTTTATGAATTGGTTACCTGGGCTTTTTATTTAACCAGAATAAAGCGACGAGGAATTTCGCTATACCTTAAACATTTACTTTGTTGTCCTCTTCTGGCATTATATTCAGGCGCTACTTTAGTAAAATGCGCGGTGTGTTTCAGTTCCTGTCGTGGCCAACACCTGCTTTTACCTGTGCATCCCATTCCTCACCACACAGCCTCAAAAAGGCGTGGACCTGAGGGATAGGGACCAAAGTATGGGAGCTTTTCAATCTATTTGTTTCAAAGTAGTGGTAGTTATGTTGTTTGAATGCCTGTCTTTGTTGTAAAATATGCAATTCATGTCTCTATGTGGGCAAAGACCCATTTCACGTCCTAAAATGTGGACTTTATTTGTGCTGGTGGTAGCTGTGTTATGTGTTTATCAGCTGAGCATATTCCCACCCCTCCTTACACTCCCACCCCTTCCATTTCTCCATATGTGTTGGTGGGATCAGCAGGCACTGGGAGATTACGCCGACCGAGGAGGAAACGTCAACCGCCAAAGAGATACTGAATGTAACTGAATGTAAAATGTGTGAGGAAGAGGAGGAGAGCTGAGAGGGCCACCAGGCTAGTGTGCATGACCGAACAGGATGGGATGAGGGCTGCACGAGGAGAGATGAGAGGCATGCAGAAATGCAGCCAGAGAGGAAAGAAGGTGGTTTGTGTGTGTCAAATCCATGAAGAGGGGGAGGATGGAGAGCGAGCACGAGACAGAAGAGAGGAGGGGCTACAGCGAGCACCGGAGGCTGTGGTGGAGAGGAGTGTGCCTATTCTGATTTCTACTCTACAAGCTCCCATCCCCCCCTTCCTCACATTTTACTCTCCTTCAGTCAACGAAAGCCAGACATAGAACACCATTATTTGCCTTCTGCCTACCCCCAGTCCCACTCTGCACCATAAACTAGGGCACTGGTATTCCCACCATTTTGAGTGTTGGGAGTTACTGGTAGAGAAGCTGGAAAATGGAGTGTAGATATAACAGGGAGCATGTCTTTACTGAAAAACCTTTTTCTCTGAACTGTTTCTCACGTGTGTACTAACAAGCCTGCGTTTTGGTTCTGTTCAGAGCTGATACCAACCCCTGTAATGATCCTAACCCTTTTGCTTCTGCCCCAACAGTGATGCAATCTCAAGGAAGCACTTCCACTCTGCCTTCTTTTGATTCCCTGAGCTCCAGCGACAGCCTCTTGCTCAGCGACTCGGAACAGGCTGAGGACGATTCGGACGTCTTTCTGGCCGGCAACTCCTCCTCGGTCGTCGTCGGTGGGACGGGCGGGGCTGAGGCCAAAAAAGATGAAGGATCAAAAAGCCCCGGGTCCCAGTGGAATGGTTTAACAGATAAAGCGGAAGAGGAGGAAGAAGTGTACAGGTCAAAGGGCGACGGCAGTCGCCTGGGCCTGGAGGAGACGGGTCCTATGAGCCAGAAACCAAAATCACAGGGAGATCTGCTGTTTGCTCAGAAGGTAAAGGAAATGTTAAAATAAAAAGAGTGGTGAGAGGAAAAAAAGGATGATGTATTGAAGTGTGTTAAGAGGAAAACTCAAGAGACTGCATCTGAAACTGTAATCTATCTCATCTCTTTTTCTGCCAGTGTGCTGAGCTGCAGGGTTTTGTCAGGCCTCTGCTGGAGCTGCTGAATGGACTGAAGAAGGGCCGGTTCGACCACGGTAAGCAGCCCCAAATCACTGCCTCCAGAAAACATGCGCAGACTCACGGGCAGGTTTGTAGGCGCCAAATAGAAGCTATGCAACGGTTCCACTCAAACGGGGAGTGTTTTGTTGCATCGCAGTCTGTATTGATGCAACACAAAGTGCAGCACGAAACAACAGTCCAGCAGCTTACTCATTAGCTCGCGAGGGTTCACCGATACGCTGAGTGAAAGTGGTGTCTGCGCGTGCGTCTGTGCATGGCTGCATGTGCATTCATTCAGTGTAAACGCTGACTGGAGGATTATGTTTTTGATTTGACAGGTTTAAGTAGTTTCCAGCAGAGCGTCGCTATGGATCGCATCCAGAGGATTGTTGGGGTTTTGCAGAGACCCAACTGTGGGTAAGATGTCATCCACACTCTGTCCCACTATTCACCCAAAGTATTTATATCTGTTGCTCGGTTGTAAACTATCCCACCATCACTAAAGCTTGCAGAATGATTATTAAACTCTACTAGTGTGCAGTGAGGTAGTCTTATGTTTCAAGCCTTATCTCCTGCTGCATGTTTTATTGAACATTCCTGTGAGCAGGTAGGGTTACACCATTCAGCAATGCTAAGAAACTGGAAGAAGGGACTTGTGAAATGTTTAAAAACTGCAGGTGGTTATGAGATGTTCTTTTTCTCTTGCTTTTTAGGGAGAAGTACTTGAACACCCTGCGTCAGGTGGAGATGATGTTAAAGCTTTGGTTCCCCCAAATCTCCACTCAGTCTGTGACTTCGTCCTCTAGTGTGGCCACTTCCCCTGCTCGCTCCCTCCTGGACACTTCCAGCTTGACCCCGCCACATAAACACAGGGATCAGTTGCATATCCCCGTAAAGGTGAGAGCGCACGCATTCCTGGGAGTCCAGAAACCTACTTGGACAAATAAAGTTCTCAAAACTGACTGAGCTTTGTATTCACTTGCTTTATGTCCTGTTGGGTTTTCCAGAAGCGCAGACTCAGCTGGACTGGCACGGACTCCCCCACGCCGTCCCCGGTGCCCACCAAGTGTCCCCGTGTCGGTGCACACAAGAGGAGGTTGAAGCACAGTCAGGACGAAAAGGATCATTCCCCCTCTTCTCCACTTCTGGCATGTGATGCAAATCAATATTTGCCAGATGTGTGCAACAGGCAGGTGAAGGGAAATGACTGCAGCAACGAGGAACCGGACGCACTGTCGGTGTACAGAGCAGCTCAGAGCTCCGAGCCGAGGGAGACGTGGGTGCACGTCGCTCCCATCTCGTCCCCGCGGAAAGCCTGTCCCACGCACGAGGCCACAGAAAGGGAGGATAACATCAAAAACCTCATCGCACCAAACGGGAAGAGCAGTCCAGCTACACAAGACAGCTCCGTCTCATCCACCACCCCCTCTGAGCGTCCCAAAAACCAGAAGAAGCCAATCCAGTGCCAAAGCCAGCCTGTTCTTGTGCAGCAGACCACCGGGACATGTCAAGGTCAAAACCATTCCTCACCCGTCGCGATGAAGCCTCTGCCCGGGGTAAAGCCCTCCACTGTAGAGACCTGATGAACGAGCAAAACGCCGGCAGCTTCCACCTCCTTACATCACCAGGCCTCAAGCTGCTGCGACACAAAGAAGGGAAGAGGATGACAGCCTGAGATTCCTAATGAATTGTTTTGAGGAAGATATAACAATCACAGGTAAAATGATTATATCTAATTCGATGCATCTAATTGGACTTATTACAAACTTATCGTGATTACATGATGATCTACAAATGCACAAGAGGAAAACGGAACATCTAAAGATACTTGAACTGATATTTACTTTTCAGCATGGAAGCAATCAATATATTCAAAGATGTCTATATTTTTAGCACGTCTTTAACTTGAAGGACTAACACTAGAAGCAGAAAAATCTGATGTCAGTATTAAAAGGAAAGCTTAAAAAATATAACAGACTCCAGAGTAAATAATGGAGCTGATTTTGATCTATTGGCAGACATGACTTTCACTTTGCAGAGAAGTTTTGAAGTGAGTAAAGAACGTTTTATTGCTCGTGACGTGGGAAATTCAGAACACGGTTATTACCGTACTGTAAACGTGGAGGAGGTGGTTGTGTGGGAAATGATGTAACAACTCACGAATGTACTCCAAATGTTCGGACGCTCAGCTGGCCGATCGAGAGGAGCGGCGCCGTAACATCAAAGGTCACGTAAGGTTTCCCGTTGATCAGACGTTTCCGTCTGCAAATCTGACCGGCGATCAGGGTCATCAAAAAGAACATCCAAGAAAGACTTTAAAAGGCCAGCTTGAGGGGAAAAACACAACAAGGACCACTCAAAGACATTTGACTATCAAGTCGCACAGTTAATTTATTCATGCTTTGATCAACCGCTGCAGCTATTTATTGTTTCTATTTATTTATTGGGCAGCTGATTGTCAGCTGTGCACCCGCACAGTTTGGCTCACAGTCTTCTACAGGAAGTTTTTGACATTTCATTTGTGTATTTTTTTTAAATTTTTTTTTATTGCTGTCATGAAGAAAAAGGAAAAAAAGCAGGTGAAAATATTTTTTGACTGGACTGTTGGACTACTGTGCCTTTTACCAATGCTTGTTCAGAAGAGTTTTTTGGTGCTTTCGGTGCATCAACGATGCATTTTGATTGTTTGCATTTTACAAAACGAGTACTCGTTCAGTCCAGAGAACCTACGTGAAGTCCGTTTTCTTCCTTTTTGAAATGGATACGCACAAAACCGAGAGCATTATCGACTGAAGACGTTTCAGTGTCGTGACGGCCACAGTTCATCCTCGCTGCCCACATCTCCAACGAACACGCACCATCAGCAGTGGCTGCTGTTTGGTTCTGAACCACTGAGGGTGGACTTTTTTTGTTTGGAGCTTTTTCTTTTAGCTCTTATCAGTGGAGGAGCAGACTGAACTGCACTTACATTCACAGTTCAGATCTATTAAAAGTAGAGTTTTGTGCAGTGGGTAACAAATATGAACAATTAATATCTTACCTGGTGTAGATGGCTCTGAACAAGCTGGAGGAAAAAAAAGTTTGATTCTGAATGGACCGATGAGCTTACAGCTAGTTTGAGTGGGGCCAAAACCAAAGTGAAACATTTTTAAATCAACTTTGATCTCAAAAGAATGTAGACGGGGGGGGGGGGGGGGGGGTCTTTTAATCTTGAGGCTGCGAGTTCGAACCTGTATGTCGGGGAGAGCGTGTGGCGTACAAGATTTGGCAGATCTTCTGTTTGAGTTTGCTCGTTCGTTGTGGCAAACCCCGCAAATCGAAGCAGCCGGAAAGAGTATGCAAACATAAGTTTACATACATGTGTAAAGGTTTGAGAACACTTGCACAAACTGCCATGAACCTTTTGAGATTGGAGCACCGAGATGACGACAACCCACTTTGGCCTTTGCTGCACTCAGACTAGCCTTTAGCTCATCATTCGGGTCTGAATCTAATCTGAGGCTGTTTAAAGAGCTACTACCTAAAGCAGGTGAGACAGATGTTCATAACCTTTCCCCTTTAATAGAGTTTAATTATCCACTTAAAGCTGGTGCTTTTAAAAACTTTATATATGAGATAAAATGTAGGAAGTCTATTTGGATGGCCTTCAGCTGCTGCGCTTATTCTAATTCCAGCTCTTATTAAGATGTTTCATAGAAGGCCCTCGCTCTATTTGGAAGTTTAACTAACTTCATTATTATTTCTCATTTATGCGATTGAATCTACACTTAAATTGTATTGTAAATGTTAAAAGTATATTTTAATTGGCATTAGTTAATCCACTAACTGTACCTGCAGAGGTAGGGTTATCCACCATGATCATCCAGATACCGGCAGCCTTGTTACTGCCCATGTTTCTATAGAAGGAGCGCTCAAACCCTCACCCAGTGATCCAGACTGAATCAGTACCTGGGGGGGGCGTGTCTTCCACCTCACTCCTGTTTACTGTTAAAGCGCGACGGAGGAACCAGTTGCACTTATTTATGTCCTTTTTGTTTGGGGTTTGTTTTCTACTGTAGCGACCACTGCTGATTGGTCACAACGTAACTACGTCCTGTTTTCTTTAGCTGCCTTTTTTTTTTTTTTACACTGTAGAAACTGACTGTAAAATCAACCCCCCACAGGCCTCCCCTCCCCCACTCGGCTTGTCTGCCCTCTCCCCCTCTCTGGCATCTCCCTCAATCCAGTTCGTGTTCTTTTTTTTACCAGAGCTTTTGTCTTCGTTTCACCCAATCTTTGTGATTATATGTTCCTGATTATTGTTATTTTTATTATTTTATTTGCATTGATAACACAAGAAGAAAAATCTTTTAATAAATGACACGTTTTTGAAAGCTAATCTGCCGTTTTTATGCTCATTTTGTGAAGCCCTGTTGGGTTCATGTGTTTTCACTTGGTTTGTGAGTAACGTGGGGCTCGTCCGTTTGAAAGCGCCTCTCTGAGCAGATGTGAGGCTCGGCGGGGTGCAGATTTAAAGAGCGTGCAGTTTGAAGTGCATGTGCAGGAGGGGGCTGTGGGGTGTGAGTCCACGCTCTAATCTGACTGAAAGTGGTGGGGGGGGGGTGCTGGCTGATCCTCCAACCAGCTGCCACTGCAGAGACCGAACATCCCCGTGTGGGAGTCTCCATTCATTTGACTTGATTGTAATTCTAGCAGATCATCTTAATTAGTAAATACCTGCTATAAATAGAAGAAAACAAAGTCTGTCCTCAAAGTGTTTCTGGCACTAGTGTTGACCACTTCGTCTGTGTAAACGCAATCTTTATAATAAATGAGTAGAGGTTTACAAGATAAATGGGTTATTTTTAGGATAAATTTGAGTAAAAAGACTTTAATCAAATGAATATTGATTTTTGTTCCACATAATGAACCACAAAGATGTCAGCAATCTGACAAATGATGTGGAAATCCTTCTATAGACTTTCTGGACACCTTTTTTTAAACTTGACAGAATGTGTATTTGTACATGAAATTTTAAGCCATCCATCCATCCATTTTCTTTACCCGTTTATTCCATTTTGGGTCACGGGGGTCGCTGGTGCCCATGTCCAGCAATCACTGTGCGAGGGGCGGGGTACACCCGGACGGGTCGCAAGTCCATCACAGGGCCACACAGAGACAAACGAGACAAACAACCATTTACTCTCTCACTCACACCTAGGGACAATTTAGAGTTACCAATCAGCCTAACATGCATGTTTTTGGACTGTGGGAGGAAACCAGAGTACCTGGAGAAAACCCACGCATGCACGGAGAGAACATGCAAACTCCACCCAGAAAGGCCCCTGGACCGGGGTTTGAACCAGGGACCTGCTCGCTGAGAGGCAGCAGCTCTGAAATTTTAAGCCATTTAGAGCAAAAGTTTCAACCAAGTAGTTTCACATACAAAACCAAAGGAGGGGAAAATACCGGTAGTTTGCTAAAGTCAACTATTCATGCTATTCAAACGGGATATTAACCTTTTTAGTGTCGTTCTGATGCGACTTGATTTGCTGCCACCATTAATGCGGAACATCTAATGAAATGCAAGAAAAATGATGTTAGATTATCAGAAAACCAAACAAAAGTCACATGTTGATTAGCTTCAACCTAAACATTTTAGAGGAAAAGATAAATTGTTTGATTAAATCTATAAAACGAGTGCAATGAATTATAATAGAACTATATTAAATTAAAACTAAAAGACTGGAAGAAACTACTGGTACCAGGAATAAGATGCATGCTTTTAAAATTCAGAAGTCTCTCTTCATTCGTTCATTCAACCTTTATTTTATTTTTTTTAAATCCTTTTAAACATTTGATTATTAACAACTTGATGCAGTTTGGGATAATCTGCATTTTATTTTGAAGTCAGAATTAGAAACAATATTCAGGCGGTTTCTGTCAGTAAACATGCTGAAGATAAATTCATTCATCTATGAAATGATCATTTATTGGTTTAAAAAGCTCATTCGTTCTGTATATTTTCTATTGATCTAATTCATTTCTGGAAGAAAAACAACTGATGTTTGCAGTTTTCCGTTGTCTCCTCTCTGGTCTTCTATCCATCGATGCTGCATCCAAGTGGGGCAGGAAAGAGGTGGTTTTTAAGAGGGTGGGGTTTGACTTCTCCCTGGTCACACAGGACGGAGACAGCCATGCTACACACACACACACACACACACACACACACACACACACACACACACACACACACACATACACACACATGGGTTCCCTACTTGTCTGACACGCTGACTGTCTGGTTCTGCGGCAGGCCCGTCTGTGACACACTGACTGCACCAACAGAAACGGCCCTCCCTTCTCGACCCCCCCTTGTATCCATGCAGTTTTTAGCAGAGAACTCCTCGCCCTGCTTCTCCCCCAACACCTCCTTTTTCCTCCTCTGGAGCAGAGAGACGAGGGGTTAAGGAAGAGTGGGACGCAAAGCGGACGTGTGGAGAAAAGTAGGACATTTGACCTTGACCTTGTTTTATATATTTTTTTAAGTTTTAATAAAAAATGAACTCATTTTTTTTATTTTTCTGCAAGTATCAATGAGATTATCAACATTTTAATAAAGTTCATGGTCAAAGAAGAATAGTTAAAGTGATAGTTTAGACCTTTTGAAGCAGGGTTTTGTGGAACAGTTATAAACAATGAACATCTCACCTGTTGTGGACGGTGATTTTGAACGACCTCAGATTGGAGACAGACCAATTCGACAGAACCCGATGTGCCGTCATGCTGGAGGACAAACAAAGCACGTGAACAGAGGAAGGTCTGTGACGGAGATGGATTTTATATGAAGTATTTATTTATTTTATGACTTTGACGCCCCAGAAACGGGAATAAAGCAAAACGCGTTAAAATAATGATAATTCTTCTTTCAGAAATATCACGTAATGCTAAATCAGTGATGATGTAAAGTTTCAACGAATAAAATTTATATGAATTACTCTTTTTAATTACATTTAAAAAAATTGTTTTAGATGTTTTACCACAGCAGCACTCCACCTTGATCTCAACTCTCGGACAAGCCATGAGCTTGTCAGGTCAGAATTAAACTCT